TCCCTCCACATCTCATTCAGCCAAGTAAAAGCTTGTTAGCCCCATGGATGAGTCTGTGGCCTCTGCGCGCCTTGATACAGTTCCAGGATCGTTCACCGAGTTCTCCGGAGTTCACCGCTTCCCTCTGTTTACTTTCAGCGCCTCTTAATGACTTTTTCTTTTTTTTCTCTCTCCCGCGTTGCAGACTCCGCCGATGATTCCGCCATGTTTGTGATTGGAACGGTGCTGTACAGAAACCTGGGGGGATTCCTGACCCTGCAGAGGTGAGACCTCGTCATCTTTTCTTCTTATAGGTTTCCAGACATTGACAAGTAGATTCAAAAAGTCAGGTGAATCTTCAGCTCTTGATTCACCTGAAACATTCAAACACATGTGCGCAATATGAAGCATACAATCGACAATTATTATTATTACATAGTATTTATAGAGCGCCAACAGTTTGCGCAGCACTTTACAATCACAATACAATTCAAGACAAGATGGTAAGGAGGGCCCCGCCCCTGAGGGCTTACAATCTGAAAGAGGAGGGGCCAGTGATACATGAGGAGGGAGCTGTGTGGGGGATGAATTGTTTGACAACGTGACGGTTGAGCGGTTAGGTTGAGGTGGGATCGGCTTCCCTGAAGAGAAGAGTCTTCAGGGAACGCCTAAAGACAGTCAGGGTGGGAGATAGACGGACAGGTTGGGGTAAAGAGTTCCAGAGGATGGGAGAGACTCTAGAGAAGTCCTGGAGGCGAGCATGGGAGGAGTTGACTAGGGAGCTGGAAAGCAGGAGGTCAATGAAACCTTCTCTTGTATGGTACAACAGGCGGCTATCATCTCGAGCTCTGGTGCCCAACCAGCAGCCAGAGGGCCCCATGTAGCCCTTTGGTGCTTGCCCTGTGGCCCTTAGTAGTATGCAGTGGCAGTGTTGATGATGCAATATGGTAGCCTCATAAACACCCTCCTAGTCTCTAACTGTCACTTAGATCTCTCCAACCACAACTAGAGCATGCCCATAGTTTCTGATTGCTCCCTCTAGTAATTCTGCAGCCTTCTGTAGGGTCACATATATTGGACATTTATGTGTGGCCCTGTGTGGAATGTCAGGGGCCCCAGGTGAGGCCCCCCTAAACCTTGTAACTTGACAACCACTGATCTAGAGGAACCTGAAATGGAAATATCAACTTCAGCAAGGAAGTCGGCCTGGCGGTGGGTAGTGGAGACAGGGATGCTCCGGCATCACACCCAGCTCCTGGCAACCAGTGATGTCCCTAGCCTTGAGGCCACCCAGGTGGGAGGGGTAGGGGGAGTGGTGGTGCACAATCATAGTAGTGGGAGGTGGGTAGTGGAAACAGGGATGTTCTGGCTGGTGTCCCACCCAGCTCCAGGCAGGGAGAGGTGTATGGCCCTTACAAGGTTCCCCACCCGTCTCTTAGCAACCTGGGATGCTCTGGCCAGTGGGTAGTGGAGACAGGGACTCTATGGCCAGCATCCCACTCAGGTCCTGGCAACCAGTAGTGATGTCCCTAGCCATTTGGTTACCTAAGGCCACCCCGGGGGGGGGGCGGGGGTAGGGGGAATGGTGGTGCACAATCAAAGTAGCGGGAGGTAGGTGGTGGAAACAGGGATGCTCTGGCTGGTGCCCCGCCCAGCTCTTGACAACTAGTGATGTCACTGGTCGTCAGGAGCTGAGCCGGACGCTAGCCTGAGCATCCCAGTTTGCTAAGAGCTAGGCAGAGAGATGTGTATGGCCCATACAAGTCTCCCTGCCTGGCTCTTAGCCACCTGTGACTAGACATGTGCACTGCCAAAAAATTCGTTTCGTTTCGTTTTAAATTCGGATTTGTGTTATTTCGTTTTTCAGGATTCGGGTGTGAAAGTCAATTCGGATTCGGAATTCGGATTCGGACGAAATTCGGTAGCGTTAGTACGAACGTTCGTTTCGTTTTCGTTTCGTTTTCTGTTCTTATTCGTTTCTTATTCGTTTCGTTCATTTGCAGCAAAAGTGACATTTGAGGGGGAAAAAATATTTTTCTCCTTCTCTAATGTCACTTTGCTCCAACGAACGAAACGAATAAGAAACGAATAAGAACAGAAAACGAAACGAACGTTCGTACGAACGCTACCGAATTTCGGAAATGGAAATTCGGATTCGTTTGCATTCGTTATGTCTGTAATTCGGAATTCGGATACATCCGAATGTCCGAATTTCCGAAAATTCGTCCGAATTTCGATTCGGAACGAAACGAATCGCACATGTCTACCTGTGACGCTCTGGCCGAATAGGGGGCGGCAGGCACCCCGCATATATAGCAGAGCGGCCATTATACAACAAACATGCCTCTCTGCCTGCCCATCCCCCGCGACGTTTCCCAAAGAGATACCATCCCAGACAATAGCCTCGAGCTGGCCTCATTAAAGGGGGAAAGCGGGCGTGGCAAGCAAGGTCACATGGATCATATGCCAACCCAGAATAACAATGTTACCGAAGAACCTGCCTGATAAAAAAACAATGAAGAATTTGAAATGAAAATTAATATTCTTTACAGACAAAAGGTGGGAAGTGATAACAGTTCCATGGATGAAAAGTAGGGACCTCTCCAAAGTTGGGTTGCTTGTAGAGGACCCGCCCCCCTGTGTGATGTCTCTTTTTCCAGTTCTTTGGTTACATTGACATTTTCAGCCTGGCCCCTGCTCTTGGGGGCCCGCCTTCCTGTGTGATGTCCTCTTTTTTTCAGCCTGCTCTTGGGGGCCCGCCTTCCTGTGTGATGTCCTCTTTTTTTCAGCCTGCTCTTGGGGGCCCGCCTTCCTGTGTGATGTCCTCTTTTTTTCAGCCTGCTCTTGGGGGCCCGCCTTCCTGTGTGATGTCCTCTTTTTTTCAGCCTGCTCTTGGGGGCCCGCCTTCCTGTGTGATGTCCTCTTTTTTTCAGCCTGCTCTTGGGGGCCCGCCTTCCTGTGTGATGTCCTCTTTTTTTCAGCCTGCTCTTGGGGGCCCGCCTTCCTGTGTGATGTCCTCTTTTTTTCAGCCTGCTCTTGGGGGCCCGCCTTCCTGTGTGATGTCCTCTTTTTTTCAGCCTGCTCTTGGGGGCCCGCCTTCCTGTGTGATGTCCTCTTTTTTTCAGCCTGCTCTTGGGGGCCCGCCTTCCTGTGTGATGTCCTCTTTTTTTCAGCCTGCTCTTGGGGGCCCGCCTTCCTGTGTGATGTCCTCTTTTTTTCAGCCTGCTCTTGGGGGCCCGCCTTCCTGTGTGATGTCCTCTTTTTTTCAGCCTGCTCTTGGGGGCCCGCCTTCCTGTGTGATGTCCTCTTTTTTTCAGCCTGCTCTTGGGGGCCCGCCTTCCTGTGTGATGTCCTCTTTTTTTCAGCCTGCTCTTGGGGGCCCGCCTTCCTGTGTGATGTCCTCTTTTTTTCAGCCTGCTCTTGGGGGCCCGCCTTCCTGTGTGATGTCCTCTTTTTTTCAGCCTGCTCTTGGGGGCCCGCCTTCCTGTGTGATGTCCTCTTTTTTTCAGCCTGCTCTTGGGGGCCCGCCTTCCTGTGTGATGTCCTCTTTTTTTCAGCCTGCTCTTGGGGGCCCGCCTTCCTGTGTGATGTCCTCTTTTTTTCAGCCTGCTCTTGGGGGCCCGCCTTCCTGTGTGATGTCCTCTTTTTTTCAGCCTGCTCTTGGGTGCCCGCATGCTCCACCACTATCTGACTGCGAAAACCGCCATCTCTCCCTCCAACCCCTCCACTCGACATGCTTTGAGTTTTCCTCATTTTTCCGGCAATCCCTGAACCGGGCCGACACACTCGTGTCATATTTTTACCGCGGCGCGGAAGCCGTCGGCGTAATGGGCTTTTATCTCCGTTCAGACCAAATGGACCTTGAAATAAGATGACCGCACTCAAGTTTACGTCCGGGCTGAAATATTATCTTATTATTGGCATCTTCTGTGGCCGCGGGCTCGGCACTCACTCCAGAGTCACATCCGTCAATCCTTGCCCCGGCAGAGGGAGGGCCAGGGAATCGGTTAACGCCTCGGAACGTGGGGGGGGGTCCATTTACGTGACATTGTAGCGGAGGGGTCATTGTTCTCCGCATGGCCGGAAGGATTGACATTAAATACTGCGCATGGAACCTAGCACATGAGGGGTGGGGGGGGGATGTCTGTGTTGTGTGGCAGCACGGACGGCTGCGCACGGCGAGCGCGCTCCTGCAGCTTTCCGAAAGGCGCTCTGGGCGGTGAGTTTTGTGAGAATGGAATCTCCTTTCAGACGGAGGCGGCAGCTGAAACATCCCAAGGCAGCACGCCGAATCTGTTCCGCGCTGATTAGCAGCACTACATCCTCCTCCGGGCCGCGCCTGATTTCTTTTTCTTCCTAAGACCATCTTATTAAACGACAAACGCGCGCGTCCCTTTTATTCTGCCCGGACCAATTAGACGGCTGGAATTGCAGCGCTTCTTATTTATTTCACTTTTTTCTTACGCACCAGCTGAAAGCAAACGCATAAAGGCGACTTACGAAGACGATTTCCTCGTTTACTTTGTCACAAAGCCGCCCGGCGGCAACCAAATTTACTTGAGGTTATGAAGCGTGGAGGACCGCGCCCGCC